CCCCAAAACCCCAAAACCCCAAAACCCCACATCATTATTTAAGTGTTGAAACAGAGAATTATAATAAATTTATACTATAATGAAAACTAATTCATCTACCAAACAACTTTGGGATGATTCTTCCTGAACTGTTTCTGAAGAGTACAGTGAATCTCCTCTCAAAAACAACATTTATCATTGGAAAGGGAATGCCAATGTCCTTGAAAATGTCACCGGAAAGTCCAAAAGCTCATCAGCAATTTCGAAGCGGCCTATCCTTACTGAGAACTCTTGCTTTCAAGAATCAAAGGGGGAAATTGTGAGAAGAAGCGTTGAATTATCAAAGCCGATTTTTATACGCCCCCAAGACTCAAAGGCTTGTGGGCCTTGCTACAAAGTTATGAAAAGACTCAGAAAGTCTTCATCTTCTGATGTACTTCATTTTCCTAGGAACTTTGAAGAAATGAAATCTTTGAATTGGAAAGAAAAATGTGAGGAGAGCCAAATGATTGCTTCATCAAGAATCCTGCTCCTGCTCCACAAGAAGTCTTAAATCTTCATGCAGCTATCAAAAAGGAAGCGGCTATTCCGCCGATAATTATAATTTCTCATAAAATATGTTTAACCCAATATTCATGTCTTTTTCCTTGGTAAATTTAGTGTTCGTCGAAGTCTTTGCTTTCAAACTTATACTGTTCCACTCTTCCTAAAATTTATTAATCCTTCTCTCATTCTTTTTAATCAGAATTTCTTATTGAGTCTTTGTAGTAAATCAAGGAAAATTTATTACATAAATCTAAAGACCGAGGTTAATCCCATTATTCTTATTCCAGTACGCTATACTATGTCCCTAAGACCTAGAGACGCTGTGATGCATACTTTTATTAATTATATGTTGGTGATTTAGTTGAACTAATCAACCATAATGCTTATTTCTAAAGACTTTGAAGCTACAAAAAGCTGGTTTAATCATAATATTGTCCATATAATAGAACGATTTGCAGCAACTTCTGAGAGAGAAGACCTCTTAAAAATTTTTGAAAGATGCTTATCATAATAAAAATACAAATTATTTTAGATAAATACGAAATGTTCACCAATGCAGCTAAAATAGGACTTAGCACCAGATGAAATATACACTTGTTTGAACTGTTAGGCCTTCTGAGGATAATAATAAAAAAGTGAATGTAGTGTGAAGAAGCTTTAATACAATTTTCAAACCCTCATTAGTGATTTATTTACAATATTTCATGCCTATTTGTTCAACTTGGAGTCAATTTAACAAGCATAAATTTTAATATCAAACACTTATTTATTAACTCAAAAGCTATGTTTTTAGTCCGAAAGGAAATAAAACTAAGCGGCTGGCTGCTTTCAGAAATCTAATAGTAAAAGGAAAGATTTTCTATCGAGTTAGGCTTGATTGTACCTTGAGAATTTGCAAGGCTGATTCCTACTTAAAATATTGACAATTATGCCAAACTCTTAAAAACGCGTTATTATTATTTTGAAAATTCTATTAACAATCTTGGCCTAGATATTTAAGTAAATTTCTTTTGAGAGACGCTAAAGGGAAAGTTTAAGAAATTTCTTCGAAATTATTCAATTTAAGCTTCTTTTACGGTCAACTAAATTAGCCACTCTCCTAGTTTTGAACTTTCCTGGTGACCAGGATGTGTTAAATAAGAAAAGGCTGATTAATTATCTATGGAAGGGGCTCATTTAATCCCAGCAAGCTTGATTGAACATAATGAATTTTTATTTGAATTTTCAGGGTATTATACTACAAGAGCATCCTTGGATAATTTGGAGATATTAATAATAGTACTCTAATGCAAAACTTTGTGCTATAAGTTAAGAAACAGGATTCAAATTAGGACATCGTCTCTCACTTGGGCACTTATTCTAAAAATTAACTTAATTTTCCACAATAGTAATAATCCATTTGAATAGGTTCAGGGATTTAAAAGGGTTACGGTTTCAATTCGATATGCTTGGAAAGGGGTTTTGGGGTTTTGGGGTTTTGGGGTTTTGGGG